AAACATGGGTTTCTCCATATGGCAGTCACTTTTAGCCACTTTGGACCCTCTACACTTTCTGATCTTGCCATTATTGTTGGTGATGGCTGCCAAGTCATTCTCCTCTGTGCTGTTTGATTTTTAAACCTCTTTTCTGTGCACCTCCTAAATGAAACATGAGCCTTGGCAAGCCGGGTACCAGGACTTTCTATATCTATACAGGAAACCTGAGTCAAGTTTCCATCTTCTGGCTAGCCATGGGCTAAGCCCTCTAGTTTGCTTTGTAGGAGGAAACAGCACGGACTCTTTAGGTGGATACACAGGGACTACTTCCGGCCCATTTATTTAATGATGGCTGTAGGCATATTGTTTCACCTACTTGTACCTCACTTTCTTCATGTGGAAAAATAGGAGTAATCACAGGACCTACTGCATGGTGTTGTTGTGAGGCATGAATTAGCAAGTATAGAATGTTAACTTTCTTTCTCACCCATGTGAGGTCATAGGGAGAAGTCACCATACTTAAATCAGGAAGAAGTGAATATTTTGGCACCTTGTTTATGAATTTTCCAACCTCCACAACTGTGAAAAACACAGCTTTGTTGTTTAACTGACCTGGTCTCTGGCACTCTGGTTAAATGGACCAAACTAAGATATTTGCTAGTACAATAAAGCAAAAAAAAATTTTTTTTTAATTTATTTAAGTAAAAGTTATGATGAGTGTGGTGATACAAGTCTATAATACCAACACTCTGGAGGCTGAGGCAGGGGGATTGCAGTGAGCTCAGGACAGCCTGGCTGAATAGTAAGACTATCTCAAAACAAATTTTAAAAAAGACTACCCAAATAGATATATAATCAATCATTATAATTTGCTCCATTGCTTTTTCCTAGGTCCAGCTTTTTCTCTAATGTAAAACATGATAATTCCTTGCTCAATATACTGTCAAAGGCATTGTTTTAAAAATCATGACTTCAAGAACAGTGTCTCAATAGGATGCAGCAAATCATCAAGAAGATCGTACACCCCAACCAAGTGGGATTCATCCCAGGCATGCAGGGATGGTTCAACATACGTAAATCAATAAATGTAATCCACCATATCAATAAAGCCAAAAGTGAGAATCACATGATCACTTCTATAGATGCAGAAAAAGCCTTTGATAAGGTCCAACATTCATTCATGATAAGATCCTTACAGAAAATTGGAATAGGTGGTCTTTACCTCAATATAATAAAGGCTGTCTACGACAAACCAACAGCCAGTATCATACTAAATGGCCAAAAATTGAAGGCCTTTACTTTAAAATTGGGCACAAGACAAAGATGTCCCTTATCACTGCTTCTTTTTAATATAGTACTGGAAATACTGGCCGGAGCAATTAGGCAAGAGAGAGAAATAAAAGGTGTAAAGATAGGAAAAGAAGAAGTTCAATTATCATTATTGCAGATGACATGATACTCTATATAGAAGATCCCCAAAACTCCATTGAAAAACTCATAGATATAATAAATAAATTCAGTAATGTAGTTGGATACACAATCAATACTCAAAAATCAATAGCATTCGTATACACTAACAACAAAGTCACAGAGAGAGAAATAAGAGAGGCCACACCCACACTAGCAACCAAAAAAATGAAATATTTAAGAATTACTCTCACGAAAGAAGTGAAAGACCTATACAGTGAAAATTATAACACAATGAAAAATGAAAGATGATCTCATAAAATGGAAAGACATCCCTTGCTCATGGATAGGAAGAATAAATATTGTGAAAATGGCCATTCTCCCAAAACTTTTATACAGATTCAATGCAATCCCGATAAAAAAATACCATCAACATACCTCATAGAACTCGAGAAATCACTCCTAAAATTCCTCTGGAGCGAGAAGAGACCTAGAATAGCAAGGACAGTTCTAAGCAGCAAAGGCAAGACAGAAGATATCACAATCCCTGACTTGAAGTTATACTAGAAAGCAACTGTAGTAAAATCAACGTGGTACTGGAACCAAAACAGAGCTGGAAGATCAGTGGAATAGATTAGAAGATACAACCACAATTATAAACACACTCAACCACCTTATCTTTGATAAAGGGGCCAAGCATGTTCACTGGAAGAAGGACAGTCTCTTTAATAAGTGGTGTTGGAAAAACTGGCTCTCCATATGCCGAAAACTAAAACTAGATCCATGCCTATCACCCTGTACTAAAATAAAATCTAAATGGATCAAAGATCTAAATATTAAAACAGAAAGACTAAATCTATTGGAAGACAAATTGGGTAAAAACCTTGAAGACATAGGAGTAGGTAAAGAATTCATGAACAGGACTCAGACCACACAAGAAATACTTCCCAGAGTCAGTAACTGGGATCACCTCTTATTAAAAAGTTTCTGCACATCAAAAGAAATCTCCAGCATAGTGAAAAGAAAACCCACAAACTGGGAAAAAATGTTAGTGAACTGTCCCTCAGACAAAGGACTTCTGTCTAAAACATATAAAGAATTAAAAAAAAAATCAGACCCCCAAAATGCAAAGACCCAATCCAAAAATGGGCCTCTGAGATGAATAAACAATCTTCAGATGAAGAAATACAAATGGCAAATAAATACATGAAAAACTGTTCACCTTCACTGGTCATTAGAGAAATGCAAATTAGAACCACACTGAGATTTCATCTCACTCCTGAAAGAATGGCCAAGATCAAGAAAACCAACAACAAATGCTGGAGCAGCTGTGGGGAAAAAGGAACTCTCCTGCACTGTTGGTGGGAGTGTAGACTAGTGCAACCATTGTAGACGTCAGTCTGGAGATTTCTCAGAAACCTGAGACTGGAAACACCATTTGACCCAGCTATTCCACTTCTAGGCATATTCCCAGAAGAACTCAAAGCATCATACCACAGTGATATATGTGCACCCATGTTTATACAGCACAATTTGTAATAGCCAGATCTTGGAAACAACCTAAGTGTCCATCAACTGAGGAATGGATAAAAGAGTTGGTATTTTTATACAATGGAGTACTACTCAGCTATAAAGAATGATCACATTGAGATATTTATAAATAAATGGACGCAGCTTGAGACCATAGTCATAAACGAAATAAATCAAAGTCACGTGTATAAATACCGAATAGTTTCCCTAGTGTAAGAAATGATAAGAATACATAAAAGTATGTGGTGATCATGAGTCTCAATCATATTTGTTTGAATCCATATGTTATCACTCATTAATTGCAATGGTTTTAACCTGGGTTGTTTGATTTTAGTATTGGTGATAGTATGAATAGCTATTCTGAAGAAAACAACACATCATAAAAGCTAGTGCTGATTTAATATCATCTTGTTTTGAAGTCCCATCAAGCTGTTGTACACCTGTTTCCACTAGTTTTAACATGTGGTATCTTACTATATTTTACTATATGCGATAGTTTAAACAAAATTTTTTATAGGCAAAGAGATAATATAGAAATTTTTGTTCATTTTCTGTTAACTGATTCTAAATACCCTGTAACTTGTTCTTTCTTGAATAGCTTCAGACTGTCTTGATATGCTTGATGCTATACTATATGAAGTTATACTCAAATAATACAAGGAAGGAGGCACTATGGTGACTACTATTATGTTAGATTATCTGGGGGTGAAACACAATGATGCTTAAAATTGCTCAGTTCTGACCTGTGTTGTTCTAATACAATGTCGTCTTTTATGTCAATCTCCACCCTTTTTAAAATTAATCTATTTTTTTCTTACTTTTTTTCAATTAAGGGAAAACTAAATTAAAAATAGTGGGATATATTATAGTAACTTTTTTGTTTTCCTATTTAACCTGATATGAAGCCCCAGTATTGCTCTCCCCATCTTGTTCTGTCAGATTTTACTATATTCTATTTTGTTTGATAGTATCAATTTTGAGGGTATAGGCAACCACTTTGAAATCAATAAGATTCACTATGATGCCCATTATGATTTACTATTATCTTTTTTGAAGTCCCGTAAGGTCTCCAGTGTAGGTTTTATTGGTGTTGTACTGTACTGTTTTGATCAATTCTATTATACCTGATGATATAGGCAACTCTTTTTAAAAATAGCAAGAGGCACAATGGTACCCATTTTTGATCACCTGATATTCCATTTTTGCATCATGAACTATGCCCACCCTTCTGTTCTAACCGACTCTGTTTTGTTTAGTCACATTAGGTTTTATTCTTTTCAAAAAAAGTAATAAGAACTGTGGAGTAAAAAAACCAAAAAGTGTAATTGTTATTAAAAAGAGAGGAAAGGAAAGTGATCTAAGGGATATAACTGCATGCATGTTTGAGTGTGTAGGATGGAAAACCATATTACTGAGCTTTTGTTGGATCACTGAATGGCACTGTCTGCAATCTCATTGTATTAATGTATACTTTATATGCTTTAATTTTATAATTTGGACAACTGTTTCTAAGATGACAATATGTAACCTATTAACTAGTGATCTCTTACTGTTTTTTCTTGAAATTCTGTATTATTTGTACCCTTTTACTGTTTCGTTTTTTTATTTCCTTTCTTTTTTCTCTTTAAATAAAAAAAGAACAATGCCTCTCATATGTATTATTTAAAATGCAGATTGCCAGCCCTCTGTCTTGGAACTTTTCTTTCACAAGATCTGAGTTGGCTCCCCCAAAACTTTCCCTTGTTTTCTTGTAAAATTAGATTCTTCAGGAAATTCCTAAATTGAAGACACTCCCAGGGAAAAATTATACAGGAAGATGAAATACTTTTTACCATTGCTACCAAAACTTAGAGAATTATAGTGTTTACATAGCTCCTACTGATCTCTGCCAAAGACTATGTTGGTTGAGTACACAGTTTTAAAAAGTGAGTGTGTTGGTGCATGACCAAAGCCACACACACATCATGCAGGCAAGTGACTGTGATCTTTGCTCCTTTGCAAGGTCGTCATGGAGTTGAGAGCTCTGAACTTTGATCCTTTCCTGTACACCTCTGTGTTCTTCTACTCCCAGCATTCCCTGCTCCTGTCTCTGCTTAAATGCCAGCGTGTGAAGTGGGGCTCCTCTGGATAAGGATCAGACACTCTTCCAACTATGTTTTCCCTGACTCCAGTCCTGGTAGCAATTGTCTGCATTTTGATCGTGTGGCTCTTTAAAGCTGCTGATAGAAGCCCAGAGAAAAAGAAAGAGGAACCCCAAATTCAGCCCTGGATGAACGAAGACTTGAAAGCCAGTCCTGATATCCACCAAATGGAAGAAGGTAAAGACAGTGGCATCGCCTCCTGGCTTTACCACAGGGTGCTTCTGTGATGAGTGTGAGCTGATGGTGGGCTTATGGAGGGGACACAGGCAGGTCAGTTTCATCACCAAACTCTAGTATGGCAACAATTCAGGGTGACAAAGATGGGGGTTATTTTTCAGGTGATCAGCTTGTCACTTTCTTGTCCCTTTACCCCTTATATTCCCATTAATCGAAAACTACTAAGGAACACAAGTTTCCCCGGGCTCTAGTGTCGTTCTGCCTGTCACAGTCTTTCTGAGTGGTCTCATCACAGACCAGCAGTGAGCATGAGGCAGGTGGTTAGGTTCTGGTCAAGAACTTTGAGACTGACCCTAGAGTTTTGCTGTTTTTTATTTCTCCAAGCCCTGGGGGTTACAACAAGAGCGGCCTTGGTCTTCAACACGCTGAGAATCCAGTTCAGGGAACCAGGTGGCCCAAAGAAGTAGAAAACTTGATGGAACTGTTGTCAGTTGTTAAGGCAGGCTGGGGGGGCAGAATGGCCAGTGGGGAAGGCCAAAGCAGGCCTGGAGGATGTGCAGCTCTGCAGGACACATCGATTAAGATGGGCAGAGAGAGTCGAGGCCAGGGATGGAAGGGTTGGGAGACAGTCTGAGGAGCTGGGTGGAGTGAAAAGCAAAAGGAAAGGCCATAAAAGAGGCAGGGAGGGAGGTAGGGAGGGGTGGGTTCTTGCAGAAGTTTGAGTAATCTGTATTTGAGAAAGTTTGTGTGGACAGGTGAGGGGTGAATTTGATTTGGAGGTGACTGCATGATTCTGTTTGGTCCTCACCTCAAGCAGAGGTTGTTTGGAAATGTGTGTGTAGTGATCCTCATCTCAGGACTTGGGGTGGGGTGTCCCTCTGTGCTGGAGCTAACAGGATGCTGAACGTACTGCCCAGGAGCCAAGGCTAGGCCACCTCTCATTCTCAAACAGATGCTCCTTGATTTACAGTGGTCTTATGTCCTGATAAGCCTTGGTAAGTTGGAAATATCATAGGTCAAAAATACATTTAATATCCCACCAATATCATAGCTCAGTGAGTCCACCTTAAACATGCTTAAGAACACTTCCACTAGGCTACTTGATACAAAGTATCCAAAATGATTCCTATTTTATAATAAAATTTATTGTATATTATCCTAAAAGTCAAAAGCAGGATGGTTGTACACATATGCCTCTGTCCCACTGCAAAGCTGAAAAAGTGTAAGTTGAGTGATGGAAGGTTGGAAGCTGTGCCTGTTGAGAAGCACATCACTGAGCAAAGGGACATCTGCCTGAAGCAGGGGTGGCCGCAATGGCAGTGATACCAGAAAGCAGGGATGGGGTATATCTGAGTGAGGTCAAACAAAGGACAAGAAGGGTTGGAAATAAATTGAATGTTGGGAGAGGCAAGGGGGGGTGGGATTCAGAGACTAAGGACTTGGAGTGATGGAGTCAGATGGGTGAAAACAAGGGGATCCCTTCCAGAGAGGGAGTTGAATTTCATCAAGGAGGTGTTACATTTGCCATGAGCATGACAGGAGGTGAAGGTTCTGGCCATAGGCACTGACAGAAGAGGCAAGCTCAGAGGACAACTAGTAATATTTGGAAAGCTAACTTGCACTAGGATGTCCTAGAATACTATTTTACTGTTTGTAGCTCATTGTTTGTATTCAAAATGGTTTGAATCTGCTATTTGTATTCATCAAAACCATCTCCATGCTTCCTCAGTACTGGAATCTTTTTTCTTCTCTGAATAACCCTGTGCTCAAAACCCTCTGAACATGGACTTAGATTGCATCCAAAGCTGTGGTCAAGAACAGGTACACAGGCAGCAGAGATCCTGGTTTTAAAAATGGTCTTTACTGATCTGTGTGACTTTTTCATTTACTGCTTATGTAAACAATAAAAAGTGAAAGACAATTTCCATGAAGTGGGTAATGTGAGAGAGAAAGCTGAGGAGAGAACCTGGAGGCCCCTGTGGACAAGAGGCATGTGATGGAGGGATGTGCTGTAGAAAGGAGAAGCCATGAGCAGAGAGGCCCAGGGATAATAGTAATAACAAGTCCTTACACAACACTGACTGAAGCCAGTTAGGGTCACATTTTGTGCAATATCATTTAAATTTCATGATAATACAATGAGGTCAGCATTATTATTATCCAGTATAAGGAAACTGAGGCTCAAATAGGGTAAGTTACCTGGCCAAGGCAGGAGAAGCAGGAATCAGGTAGTCTGGCTCTAGGGTCTTGCTTGCAAAATAGCCTCTCCCGCAGGACAGTGAGCCAAATGGAGTAGGCAGGAGAAGAGGCAAGGCTACAAACCTCTAGACGTGGTGTGAGTGGAGGGACCCTGGGTGTGCAGGTCCAGGAGGCTGGAGGACACTGGAGGGCTTGGTGAGGCTGGAAGAAGTCAGGGACTGGGCCAGAGTCTGGTTGGGAACACAGAGCCATATTGTGTAGCCTTCGATTGATTTTCTACCTGATCACTCAATTTTGCAAAATCTTCTGCCTTTTTATTCTGTTTCCTTCTATCTTTGATCCTTTAGAGAAATGAAGTTAACCATGTTAACCACATTAGTGGCCTGTTTAAAAGCCAAAGAAAATCTGGCCCAAAAGTAATGTACACAGGACTCTTCTTTCAAATTTTATTGTTTACATAAGCAGTAAATGATAAAGTCACACAAATCAGTAAAGACCATTCTTAAAACCAGCTGCCTGTGTACCTGTTCTTGACCACAGCTTTGGATACAATCTAAGTCCGTGTTCAGAGAGTTTTGAGCACAGAGATATTCAGAGAAGAAAAAAGATTCCGGTACTGAGGAAGCATGGAGACGGTTTTGATGAATACAAATAGCAGGATCAAACCATTTTGAATAAAACAATGAGCTACAAGCAGTAAAATAGTATTCTAGGACATCCTAGTGCAAGTTAAGGAAGACACGAGTATCAATACAAACTGCTCGAGCTCCGATTCTCAAAGAATCCCCACTGTGTTCATAGGTGAGGATTCAGGTTGTGTATAGCGTGTGCTGAGGGTGGAAGGTAGAAGAGCATGGTGTGGACAAGCTTGTAAGATAAAGGATGAGGACCTTCTGATGATAAGCCAAACACAATGTCCTTTTAAGACTGTCAGTTCCTCGTGTATCTGGAACAGAGGTCTAAGAAGTAGCTGAAGTTTATCTTAAAGGATAAACCTGAGGTTATCGCTCTAAAATGAACTGAAAATCTTACACAAAAATTCTTTACTTAAAGAGATATAGGAGACATAGCTTATAAGGCTGTGTTCATTTTATTGTTGGTGCGGGATTTTCTCTGATGGCCATTCATATATTATAATTATAAATGGAATTCTGATTATCTTATATTATCCAGTCTTTGATAAGAATGCCTGTGTTAAAATTTTTATCTAGTGTACTACCTGAGAATTAAAATGTTTCTGAAAACTTGGGAGAAGAGAAATTTCCATGTATGTATCTTGCTAACAAATACCCATCAAAACTAGTTGCAAGCCTATTCAGTGTCTTATTGACAACTCAGTTTAGTGGGAGTTTAACAAACTAATCAGTGTCATTTTCTTCCTTCTGGAGATCAGCCAACCAAGGATACACTCACTGCAATACCTCCTCCTCTGACTGCCAGCCGATCCATAGCTGTCTCAACTGACACTGCTCCTACCAATGATGTTAATCACTTGCACCTCTGAGAGTCCCTCAGTCCCTTAGCCTCAGGGTTCTGAACAAAATGGTGTATGAGAGCTGGTCTCTAGGGCTGACAAGGAACATTCATTAAATATTTAGAGATATTGGGCCGTTTGTTAAATCTTCAGTAGCTTGCAGTTAGGCTATGATGGGATTCAATATTTCTTCTCATGGATATTGGTAAGTGCTCTTCCTCCCCAAAGCGCTGATTTGCCAGCCCAACACTGCCAAAAAATTTCAAGATCAGGTTCTGCCCTGCTGAGGCTCTGAGCTTGACCAGCACGGTTCTTTATTATCAGGAGCAAGACGCTCAGCCCTGTCTTAGCGTTTCCCCATGCTTTGACATACCCACCCACTAGTACTTTTATGTGGCTGATTTAAAAGGTTGGCAAAGAGGCTGGGGATCTAGTTCAGTGGCATAAGCACCTGCCTTGCAAGCAGGCTGTTGTGAGTTCAATCCCCGGTACCGATAAAATGAAAAAGACAAATAAATAAATAAATAAAAGGTTGGCAAGCGAAGACCCCACCCCCACCCAAAGACCTTGAAGTTTCAGCATAAAGTAAGCATAGCTGAGGGATTAGGAAAGGGAAAAAACTTGAAGGAAGATATTGTCCTTGAGATCCAGCCTGCCTGGGCTCCTGAGAAGGGAGACTGAAGATAAACACAGAGAACGGAAGGGGTTTGGGGACAAACTCTGTCAGCTTCACTTCATTGTTTGGAGGGGCAGACTAGTACCTTTTTCTCTACCCACCCCAGTTTGTGGCCAAGACCCATTAATAAAGGCAGATTAATAGGAGAAAAGCACACATTTATTTCATGTCAATGTAACACATCACAGCAGCTTTTGTAATCCAAAGAATGTCAAAGAAATGCTTCCACTTGTGTGTTTTTTGGCTAGATCTGTCAGACAGTGGACAGCTGTTGGGACACATGATAGAAAAATGAAGACATAATCTAATGAACAAGTCAGGGGAGACTTTGCCGGGCCTGTTTGTTGAGACTCTTCTGTGCGTCACTTTTGCTGCAGACATGAGAATATTCTTTTCTCTGGGTATCAGGAGGCCATCTGTTGAATGGGGAGCTGATGATCTACTTTTGGGGAAGATTGAAGTATTTGTAGATTTTATGACCCACCTCAGGGAAGAATGGGAGTGGGGAAAGTCAGAACTGTTGCTGCTCCTACCATTCTCCATCATGCCAAGGATGAACCCCACCAGCTTTAGAATAGCCTTGTTCTATTCAAGGCCTGACCATCAGGGCAAACCCAGCCTCCTCAGGCCCGCCCACATTGGTGCTGCTAG